CCTGGGTTTTTTCCAGGGAGAACCAGCGGGCACGCGGGGCGGGTGGGGGAAGGCGGCTTTCCTTTGCCCGGTGCTTCCTTTGCGTTGAACATTTTAGGCTGTTTTCATATACTAAACTGCCTGGAAAAATCGTTTGGGTCAATGAAACCGTTGACGTGAAGTTTCAGTCAGTGAGTAGAGCTCTTATTTCACGGACAGATCCTTAAATAAAACTTACTTTCTTGAACAGGAAGAAAATATGAAATTAGAATTTGTTCTGATGAACCCTCCTTGTGCTTGGAGTAAAGACCCAGCTCCTATTCAGCGCTTTCAGGCATATCTGGATTATAGTGGGGTCCGATTTCCAGGCTGCCGTGAGGAAAGGTTGTTGGAAAGCAACTGTGCACGCCTTTGGTTAGTCCAATGTGTCTTTCTAAAAGTAAACCAGTGTTGAGTGCTGGTGCCCAGGTCCTCTGTTTTTCTAGGTATGCTCATTGGAGAAGTGTTTATTACATCTAATAAGAGAATATTCAAGACTAGTCACAATTACTCAGTACTCAAAGGCATGGTGAAATTTGAGCTTTATCATTTGCAGCCATTTAGCTATTACAGGTTGGTGATGATTGCAGCCACTTATTTGCACGGCTTCTGCTTCCAGGAAGCAACTTTAAGGGATAAAAGGAAATAATGACGTCTAAAATGTTGGTACTGACGGCATCCTGTAGTGAGATGCTTATTTTATTAATTTGGATAAGTTACTAATGTAATTATTAAAGCTTCCTTGGGGATTTTTTCCCAAGTACTTCACTGGATGGGGTTATAAAATAACACAATCTTTCTCAGAATAAATAAGTTGCACTTCCTTCATGTGTTGTATTTGTATTGTGAACTCATAACTTTTCCATATATAAAGGAATCTTGTTCTCTAGATTTTGAAGTGTTTTGCTCTTGATAGGGTATCGTTCTGAATTTTGGATGTGCTAACATTCTTCAGATGGTAGCGTAGCATCTTTGTAGGATACTGAAGGAAGGGAGCATGGAGAAAATAAATAGTACAACAAGAAAAGATTTTTCCGCTTGAAAAGAAATCCTTGGTGCATTTGCAGAAGAGATTTGTGTGTTTTCCTCAGAAATGCTGATTTCCCTCTATTATAGGGTTGGGGTTTTTTGGTTTTGTTCTTTCCTTTGGGGTTTTTTTTCGGTCAGATGATCTCCAAACTTAGGCCTCTTGCTTCCAAATTAGCTTCCAGCATGTGAACCTCAGAGCTGGCAAGTAGCCTTATGAGCCATAGGGTCTGGCAGAATGCTTATTTGAGGGATTAAGGTCTGCAGTCTGCAATCTCCACAACCACAAACTAAGATGTGTTTCAAAGCCAAACAAAAAATACATCCGTATAAAAACAAAACAGAGAATTTATGTAATGAAACTTGGGTATTTCTAAGTGACGATATTGTAGCCGAATTCTCTTGCCAAGATGCAGTCCTTCTTACGCTTTAAACGTAAGGCAGTATAGATGATACACAAATAAGTTTTTATTTAAAATACTTGCTGAGAAAAAAATCTTTCATGTTATATGGTCTGGCAGAATAGCCAGGTGGCTAGCAGAGGGCCTCTCATGATCACTATGTGTTGCAGAAGTCTGGTTTCCACAAACTTGGTTGAATCAACTGATTATTGTGAAAAAAATAAATTCAAGAAATGCATTCATTTACTTGAAATGAATTAACATTTTAGTGGGTATGATAATTTTTATCTTGAATTTAGACACAATTATTTTTCAGCTGCATGAATAGCCGTATCTCCATTAGCTTCAAAATGTCAATTGACTGAGCTTAAAGGGAGCTGTGGTTTACACGCTCATACTTTTTCAGCTTTGTTTCTATTGGTGCGTTGCTTAACTGGGATGTGACATACAGAGTCTTGATTTTAAAATACTTGATAAGAATAAATAGAAAATGCTAACAGTAATGGTTTTAATTTTGGCCGTTTTTAAGGTCGAAACATTGAGAATGGTTTTACTTCTTGTTTTATTTAGGGCTCAGAGATGGATTCATCAGAACGATCAACAGTTAGAAGTGAGCAGAAATCCAGGTAATTTGTCTTGCAAAGGTTATACAAAACTGTCTCTTAAAGAAAATCTGAAAACACAGTGGAAATACATTGCTGAAAATTGGATACAAGAACAACATCATGCTTGAAAACTTGAAATGATCCCAGAAACTAGTTTCTGCCCTGACCGAGTGCTTCATACTCAGTTAAGCTGTTTGTGAGGAATAAATAATACACTTGCTGAGAGGAAACAATTTGTGCTGAATGTAGCAGGAAGGCATGGAGATTATCAGCAACATATTCTTTGTAGGCATTAGCTAGCAACCTTATCGACATGTTTATTAATTGCTTTGCCTGAGGCCATTTCAAGTTAAACATTATAGTTTTAGCTAGATAGTTTCAGATGATTGTGAAATAAGAGGTGTTAAACACCCATATTACCAGATTAACAGGAATTAAAAATCTCTAAAGGTAGTTTTGAAAGTCAAGGAAATTCTAAGGTTCTGTATTACTGAAATCCTTGTTTGTATATGGTGATTTCACTGTATGGTTTAAATGCATTTTCACTTCTTTGCAAAGTAATCATGAAAGCCAGACTTTCTTGACAGTTTCTTTTGCTGGCTTGCGCAATGAATATGGATGTAGAACCAAATACGCCTTTTAGAGTAATCTGTTGTTAGTAACATCTGAATAGTGGGCTAGATGAACCCTTGATCTGAACAAGCATGACTGTTCTTATCTTCATGTCTCCTAAAGTGAGAGTGAGTGAGAATAAAAGATGCTGCTTTTTCCCAGAAAAACAAAAATGTCTTTCTTTGAAATATTGTGACTTGTCCCTTTGAAATAGTTCTACTTACTTTCTATCAGACATGTATTAAGTAAATCGTTGGACAGTCCTTTGACTACTTTTTCAAAAATTCATTTCAAATGGTGTTTGGCTAGCCCAGTGGACTGAAAATTGGTAATTGTCAATTTGGATCTCAAAGACATTAGTGATTTGAAGCTGTTGCCTTTTTTTGTCTTAAATTAATTATGCACACTTACTTCTCTAAAATGACAAAAAGACTTAAATTACATTGTCAGTTTGGGGAAGGCTGTGAATTGCTGCTAATACCATTCTTCTGCGTAGAAATAGAGAACTCAGTTCCTTTTGGTTGATTAGTATTTTGCACAAGCGTTAATAGTTCATATGGATTTCTTGAGTCTGTCATGAGATTTTCGGACAAGTTAGAAAATGCACTGTAAAAAAAGATTTTTTTTTTTTTCTTCTGTTTTAAAGAAAATTCTTAAAAAGTCTAATAAGAAAGCAGCCTCGGGACCTTCTTCTTGTAATTGGAACTGGGGTAAGTGCTGCAGTCGCACCAGGAATCCCAGCGCTGTGCTCCTGGAGAAGTTGCATTGAGGCTGTAATTGAAGCAGCTGAACAGCTGGAGGTGCTTCATCCGGGAGATGTTGCTGAATTTCGTAAAAAAGTAATCAAGGATAGAGACCTGCTTGTGGTTGCACATGATCTCATCAGGAAAATGTCACCAGTGAGTATGTTTATAACTTATATTGATTTCTAAAATTATTATATACTTTTATTTTGTTATCAACAAAAATTCTCTTCAGCTTTCTAAAACTTTAAATTTTTCTGGTAAAAATTGAAACTTTGATGGTAGTCATACAGTACGCTGTACGTTTTGGAGAGGCTAAAAATCCTTGGTTTTTAAGAGTAAGTAAGCTTTCATCATAATTAATGCAAGCAAGAGTCCTGGCTATTAAATATTCACCATCATGTTTCTTGGAACTGAAAGAGGAATTTATAGCTCTGCTGGCTAAACTAGAGATACCCTGAAAATACAGGTGAATCTTGACCCTACTGATAGCCTTAGATCACACGGACTTAATCACCGCTGCAGCTCACACTTCACTGAAGACAGTCCATAAATGCCCCGTTTCTCAGCCGTTCATCTTGGGTTCCAGAGATTTTCAGATTGTGCTAATAGGTTTGCCGAGTCTTCTAGTTGAAATAATTAGGGTGACATGCATACTGCGAAGTTGTAGGATGTGTTGAGCGTTTTGCAATGCGTGGTGAGCTTCTCTACAGGCAAAGTGTAATAATAACCTCTCTCTTTTGGGAGGGATCTGCATGTATGGTTAGGCTTTGAGCAGATTTAATGATTAATACATTTTTCTCAACCACGAAGAAAAACAAACAAACACAACTCTTTAATAGTATATCTGAATCCAGGGAATGATAATTTAGTAATTAGCTGATTTTCAAAGCAGTAAAAGCATACTGAGAAAGGTGAGCAGTAGTTCCATGTAGTTAGGCCAGTAACTATATCGGGCTTATGAACAAACATTTGTTCTGTGTGTAATACAATTTATTGCATAGGAAGCCTGTATATTTTATAGAATTGTTACATGTTCCTGTCAGTCTCAGCAGATACTCTGGGCAAATGCAGCCTACGCTTTTAGGGAAGCGTACCTTCGTGTTTGTTTAGCAGTGACAAGTGAGGATTTAACTGTAGCAAAATAGTTTTGGATTATTGTACCTGTATTACAAGCTTACTTGAGAAAACCAGACTAATATTTTGAGCTACATTAAGGGGAGGCAAGAGCACCTGAATAATTTGAGATTGTTTTTGATGGTTGTGTACATTCAGACCCTTCATGCTTTGTATACTATGTAAGCCCTCTTTTAAAGGAATACTTTGACATTAAGTAGACAAATGATGTGGGTTTTCTGTTGGAAGCAGTTATAATGGTGCATGTGGTCCTTATGAAGTGTTCATCTTTTTCTTTCTTCAGCGTACTGGGGATACGAAGCCCAACTTCTTCCAGGATTGCTTAATGGAGGTGTTTGATAATTTAGAACAACACATTCAGAATCCAGTTGTTCTGCAATCAATCCTGAGACTTATGGAGAGAGGCACAATGGTTCTGACTACAAACTATGATAATTTACTTGAAATATTTGGTCAGCAACAGGGTAAACCTATGGAATCTTTAGACTTGAAAGATAAGGATAAGGTATGATGAGAGCAGTAAAATTTTTAGACATTATAAGAGAAAGCAGCTTGTAAGCTTCATTGAAATATATTTTCCTGTTTAAAGAGTGTCCAAGCTAAAACTTCTTAATTGGTAAAGCATGTCTATAAGCTAACAGCAGATGCACAGACATTTATTTTACGTGTTCTTTATTTTGTCATCATAATTCTTTAAATTTAAAATTCCTTTACTGGAATTACTTACATGTGTACTTAATTTTGTATGGTAACTTTGATTTTGAATATAAATTTTTTTCATAGAAACAGTGCTTATGAAATGTCAGTTTGCCCTGATCTTAAAACATATGCTTAATACAGACATTTCTTTTTGTTCTGAATAACTGTTAGCAGTTACCAAGGAGAATTTCAGTAACACGCTTATTAACCAATTCCCCCCCACTCCCTGGAAAAAACCCACAAACTTATTTAACTTATGTGAAGTAATTGTTACAATCACAAACATGATTTCACCTAGCTAGTAGTTAATTTGCTGTTCGTAACTTTGCTGTCAGCGTTGCTGGAACTTGCTTTTTGGCTGAATGCTTGTTTAGACCAAAAAGCCAGAGATCTCTTCAGTATCAGCAATCACCTCTTTATTGTAATTTAAAGTAAGCTGTGTAATTAGTAATTAAAATCTTTTGCTGCAGAAGAGTGCAAAAGAAGTTACTTCTGCTTTGAGTGGTTTTGTAAGTTAGGACAGCTGTATATTTTTGCAGAATCTCAGTTATTGTAGTATATTATAGTATAACAAAAGAACGTAACTTGCATGATTTGCTTTAGGTTCTTCAGTGGGCAAGAGGTCATATAAAATATGGAGTTCTTCATATTCACGGCTTATATACAGATCCCTGTGGAATGGTGCTAGATCCCTCGGGATATAAAGATGTTACTCAAGATCCTGAAGTCATGGTTTGTGTGATCTTTAAAATTTTTACTATGTTTTGCCAAACTGTTTTATTGTAATCACTGCATACACATTACCTAAGGCTAGGGTTTTGTCAGATCATATAGATTAAATAATTGGGGCCCAGAAAAATGGCAGTATTATTCAGAAAGCCAGCTATGTTGCTAGGGCAGTGTACACTCTTGTATACTGCTTATTTGTAAATCACAATCAAAACCCTCAGCTGTATGTCATAGTTTTAGAGTTCTTTGTATTTATCTCATGAAAGAACATTAGCCCCAAAATACTAGACACCAGAACAAGGATTCATCACCACCTGATGGCTTGGATTCAATTTTTAGGGGCTTAAGCTGTTACCAGCTCTGCATCCTGGACTTAGTGTCCTATCTCTGGTATTTTAAGAAGGGAAACATTTGGTCAAGAATATTAATTTTCCGTATTTACAGATTGACCTAACAGGAGCCTAATATTTTGTCATCACAATTCTTTCAATTTAAAATTCCCTTACTGGAAGTACTTACATGTGTACTTAATTTTGTATGGTAACTTTGATTTTGAATATACTTGTTTTTTGTAGAAACAGTGCTTATGAAATGTCAGTTTGCCCTGATCTTAAAACATATGCTTAATTCAGTTCAATAGTGATGTCTGCTTTGCTTCTCCTTTTAAGTCTGACGTATTTTAATGGCCTTTTGACTACTGAAGTGAATGTCGCTCTTGTGTGTTTATATTTCTTAACAGGAAGTTCTTCAAAATTTGTATCGAACCAAGTCTTTTTTGTTTTTGGGCTGCGGAGAGACTCTGCGTGATCAGATATTCCAAGCTCTTTTTCTTTATACTGTAAAGAATAAAGTGGATTTAGAACATTACATGTTGGTGCTTAAAGAAAATGAAGACCATTTTTTTAAGCTTCAGGCAGATATGCTGCTGCATGGAATAAAAGTAGTGTCCTATGGGGCCTGCTTTAAACAATTCCCAGAGTACGTACAAGATCTGACTGCTCAAATCTGCAAGCAGAGAAGTCCAGGTAATGTATCCTTTTTAATAAGGAAATTTTGAGTAGGTGCCTAGCAGGATGCCGTGTCTGAACAATCAGCAGTTGGTCTGAGGTGTTGACCTCGTTCATAGCGGTAGGCCTGTGCAGCATCTTTGCTTATGAATGGCATGCAGAGTTAGAACATGTGACAAAATTGTAACCAAATTTCTTTCTGTAGGGTCTGCGGATTCTTGCAAATTTAATCTTAAATTCTGAATTTGTCTTTTTGTTAGCATTTGGTTAAGAAGTTTACTTTGTGTGTTTTTATGGCATGAACTACTGCAGTATATTACTACATTATGTGAAGTATGACATGTCAGTAAAAGAGACTAAAAGAATTGAAGGAATTAACTGGTGGGATAAGTTGGTTGAGCCACAATATCTGATTAAGCATAGAATGGGAAATTAAATCGGTACACCCAATAGCGTTTGGCTTAACACTGGTAGGGCTAATGGGGAGAAAAACTGAGTGTGAGGATAACATTTTGTGACAATAAAATAGAAGAGGCTGTGGAATAATACTCCATTTGTGATAGTGAATGGCATTCTGTAGAGGGCGTTTAATGCTAAAATGGGACATAACACCTTTGCTGAGGGTAACAGTCCTGCATCGACAGGGAGCTAAATTTTACTAACTAGGTCCATTTGCCTACTTCCCTGCCCTGCTCCCTTCCATCCTCTTGTCTCTCCACTTATAAAATTCCTTAGCTGTTAACAATAAAGAGCCTTTAATACGAAACCAAGGAAAAACAACAACTGTATGTTGAAGGAAGAAAATTTCTTTAATGTTTTCCAAACAAGGACAGTTCTACTATGGCTTATCCAGAGAATTGAGGAAAATAACTAGCGTAAATGACCTTGGGAAGAATACTGTTTCACAGCTCTATTTATCATGTCAGTGAAACTGTTTTGTCTAAAATTATTCCCAAAAGGTGCATAGCCCTCCCTAAAAGAAAATTGCAGGTGTATGCCAAAATTATGTAAGGTTTTTGTAACTGCATGAATGTTACATTTAGACTGGATTAGATTTTTCTTTCCATGAAGGCTAGAAAAAATATTTAGTACAGCATCTACGTTTCAGGAAGTTTATCTGCAGTGTAGACACCTAAAAGTAAGTTGGGGTGCAATTTCAGACACTGAACTAGCCTCAGCCTGCTAGTTTGTTCTTTGACATACTGCTGTTGATGGGTGTGATGGACATGCATTTCATAGTCTGAGCAGTTCTAGAGCCTGTTGATATCAAAACAGGGTGGGAGATACTTTTACGTAAGCTCTAAATGGAAATGACTGCAAAATCAGACTATAATGCTCCCCTTGTTCAGTGGAATTACTGACTGGTGTAATACTTGCAAGAAGAGGGACCTTACTCTGACTTCAAAGTCTTGTTGATCTCATTTACAAGTCAAGATCCCAAACAAAACTGTTTTCAAGTGTGCGTAACTGCTGTTTACATTACCAAACTGTCAGGTTTCATTTTTTTCATGCTTATTTACAAACTGTCTTTTAAAAAAAAGCAGGAGGAGTTTATTAAAAGGGTTATATGAAAGAAATGCAGGCCCTGCTCCTCATAGGGGACTTCAGCCACCCAGACATCTGCTGGAAAAGCAGCACAGCGAACTGCAAGCAGTCCAGGACACTACTGGAGCACGCTGAGGACGACTACAGGTGATGGAGAGCCCGACCAGAGGAGAGGCACTGCTGGACCTGTTGCTCACTGTCGAAGAGGTCAAGATTGGAGGTAGCCTGGGCTGCAGCAGTCATGCCCTGGTAGAATTCTCAGTCTACAAATGAAGCAGATAAAGTTGCTAAGCCACTATCCATCATATTTGAAAAGTCGTGGCAGACTGGGGAAGTTCCCAGTGACTGGAAACGGGGAAACATAACCCCCATTTTTAAAAAGGGAAAAAAGGAAGACTTCGGGAACTACAGGCCGGTCAGTCTCACCACTGTGCCCAGGAAGATCATGGAGCAGATCCTCCTGGAAACTGTGCTGAGGCACATGGAAAACAGAGAGGTGATTGGTGACAGCCAGCATGGCTTCATGAAAGGCAAATCGTGCTTGACAAATTTGGTGGCCTTCCAGGATGGGGTTACAGCATTGGTGGATAAGGGAAGAGTGACTGACGTCATTTACGTGCAAAGCATTTGATACTGTCCTGCACAACACCCTTGTCTCTAAAATGGAGAGACATGGATTTGACAGATAGACCACTCAGTGGATGAGGAATTGGCTGGATGGTCGCATTCAAAGAGTTGCAGTCAACGGCTTGATGTCTGGGTGGAGACCAGTGACAAGCGGTGTCCCTCATGGATTTGTATTGGGACCAGTATTATTTAATGTCTTTGACAGGGACATGGACAGTGGGCTCGAGTGCACCCTCAGCAAGTTTGCAGATGACACCAAGCTGAGTGGTGCGGTTGATAATCTAGAGGGATGGGATGCCATCCAGAGGGACCTTGACAGACTAGAGAGCTGGGCCCATGTGAACCTCATGAAGTTCAAGAAGGTCAAGTGCAAGGTCCTGCACCTGGGTCGGGGCAATCGCAAATGTGGATACAGGCTGGGAAAACAAAAAAAATGCAGAGACATGCAGTATCTTCTCAGAGAGGTCAGGGATAAACGAGGAGTGATCCGTTCAATGCAATTACTTACATGAAACATGCAAGTAGATTGGAAGGCAATAATAAATGGAGAGCAAGTATTAATTACCTCTGGCTTGGACCCCACTGGGAGTACTGCATCCAGCTCTGGGGTCCCCAGTACAAGAAAGAGATGGGCCTGTTAGAGTGGGTCCAGAGGAGGGCCATAAAAATGATCAAAGAGCTGGAACACCTCTCCTATGAGGAAAGGCTGAGAGTTGGGGTTGTTCAGCCTGGAGAAGAGAAGGCTCCGGGGAGACCTTATAGTGGCATTCCAGTACTACAGGAAAGACGGGGAGGGACTCTTTATCGGGGAGTGTAGTGATAGGAGGAGGGGTAATGGCTTTAAACTGAAAGAGGGTAGATTTAGATTAGACATTAGGAAGAAATTCTTTACTGTGAAGATGGTGAGGCACTGGAACAGGTTGCCCAGAAACACTGTGGATACCCCACCCCTGGAAGTGTTCAAGGTCAGGTTGGATGGGGCTTTGAGCAACCTGGTCTAGTGGAAGGTGTCCCTGCCGATGGCAGGAGGGTTGGACTAGATAATCCCTTCTGACCCAAACCATTCTATGATTCTAAATACAACCTTGCTATTTTAGGATGTTGCATAAAAGTGTAAAAACGTTTTGTCTGCTAACTTTTGCTGTTGCTGTCTCTTACACTTCTCTAGATGCTGACCGAGTGGACAGCACAACACTGTTGGGTAAGTAACGTTGTTATTTTCACAGAAAGTTCCATAATCTACCAGAGAGATAAAAATAAGTCTCTTTATTTACAAAGTAATTAAATAATTATTGTGCAGTGCTCTGATTTAGCTCTGAAAATCTGCTTAACAGATTCTTGTTTTACCGTCTTATTTTCTGTCTACGCATTAGCAGATAACTGCTGGCTTTCAGCTGTCAATAAAATGACAAATGATAGAATGGAAAAGCTCCAGAAAATGGATATAAAAAATAATTAATGCTATTCAGAATATTCTAAGATAATAATAACATCCATGAGGTTTGGCTATTTTGAATGCCTTCCTTAAGAAGGTTTAGAAGAGTGAATCTCAAGCTGAAACGTGTAGTACTGATGGTGAATTTCTGGCTAAGCGTTTTGCGGGTATCTTTGTGGTATTTCTGTGAATAAGTGGAGCAATAATACATTCCAATTTATGGTATAAAATAGCAAAACTTCCCTTTGAAACAACACTTCAACTTAAAAAGATTACACTTCTAAGATATTTGTGCTGCTGCTGGAAATAATATCAAAATTGTATAAAAGTCTAATTTCATTATTGCATATAAGGGTGTTTGGCATTACAGGAGATTAAAAACCCTCTCTTTTTCACAGTCAAAAAGTGCACAAGGTCCAAGATACTCGTGGGCCCGTGTAAAGTCAGAGATTACTTTTGTAATTCCAACTAGATTTTAAGTTTATCTGTCTTTCAGATGAGTTCATAAATCCCTTTTTCAGTAAAGTACAATTGGGCATCCGTGGAGAAGAAATCAAAAACTTGAGGACAAGTTATTCCAGTTCCACTTAACATAAAGCTCCTTTGCTAACTTACTAGCACCCTCCTCACAAGTAATTTTTGGCACCCATTTACTTGTATTTTGGAATACATAGCAAGTAAAAAAAAAAAAAAGATAATTATTCCTTAATACAGATTTGTATAATACCCTGCAAAAAAGTATATCTAGAGTTTTAAGTGATGGATGTCCTCATTTTGAAGGAATTTCCCTTCCATTCATTTTTACTGTCTAGCAATGTGTTTATACTTTTAACAGTAGCTCACACCAAGAATTTTTTTCCTCTGAATAAGGGATCCAAACTTTTTAAAGAAGCTTCTCACCTGTGAACTCCACAGGCATTATCACACAAAATCAAGAATTATCTTCTTCAAAAAGCAGCTGTATAATTAGCTACTTCCTGTTTTACATGTTGGTACCAGAGCTCAGTGTTGAGGAAGAGCTCGAGATCACTGAACTGGTGCAGACTTTCAGTAGGGTTAGTGTTATATTCCGAATCTAAATACAAGAGCCTCAGTGGACCAGTATTGTGTTTGTTTTAATATTTGGTGCTTGTAATAAAAAGTATACAAAGCACACATATGTAGCAACATTAAAATATTTCTTTTTTTTTTTTCCGGCCCCCTCCTCCCTCCAGGAACTTCATGTGTGGACTGTGCTAAACGGAAGTTAGGAGAAAATGGCACTGACTCCCCTAAGAGAATCAAGCAGTCAGATAATGGTATACCTACTAATTAATGAAGAAAAAAAAAACAAAACCCAACCCAGGAAGCTTTTTAACAGCAGGTGTTTTACATCTGCTGCACGGAAAGTTTTGAGCTGAGTATTTCCATGGTTTTAAGTGCAATAAAAATGGTGCATCTTAGCCTTTCTTTTCTAGAGCTGTAAATGTATAATATATGTAAAGCTAGAGAGCCATACTAGTCACTCTCCAAGCACTTCCATACTACTAAAAGTGTATCTGCAGGGTCATTTAGAAGCAGGTGCAAGTTTTCTCTGCCTGTGCTTCAAGCCAGTTGGACCAAGCTCTTACCAAGGTGAAACCACAACAGAGGCCATGTTTGAATCTGTCAAAAATTACTTTTGGCATACCTGCGACTATCGGTTAGTTGCCTTTAAAATGAAGCGTTTTCTATTCTTTTCTCATGAGCTGAACTGCAATTAGGCTGCTGGAGGTCTGTCCACACAAGGCTGCTTGCAAGCTTGAGATTCAGATCCCTAAGCTGTTAGGAACAGGAATTGTTTCATGTTTATAGAACCTGCATCATGATAACCTGCCTATTTTACACTTTTAGCATGAGTATTTGTTTTCATTTGTCAGGCTGTTAAGGCACGAGACCACATGGGGCGAAAAGGATGTAACAGTAATGTATCAGCAAGGACATACCATATGTACATGCAGGCTTACTGACCTATTTGCAATGTATTTCTGTGGAAATATTTTACATATTGTTGTTTAAATCATAGAGTATGCTGCCAGTTATCTCAGAAAGCAGATAATGGATAGTCTTAATGCAGCAGAATTAAAACCAGTTAGTATCTAATTATGTATCTGTAGACACTTTCTAGTGTATGTTTGACTTCAGTTGAATTACTCAAGTGATTAAGGTTAGGCACTGCATTAACTGTTTTTTTTCTGAGGTGCTGTTACTTCACCTACCACTGAATTGTCTCAGCACTAAACTGACTTAATTACCAGTCCAGCTGCTAACACCGGTAATTGTGTGAAATCTACTCAGCTGCCTCTCACCTCAGTGTCTGAAGGAGAGCACGTTCAGGACCATTCTTCGTTCCGATACCGGCACGTTCGTATCTGGCAGTCCTGGAGGGTTGCTTCAGTCAGGTTTCTCTGCTTATGTTCCCAGTGGATTTGATCTGTTACACCTTCTGAGATCACATCACACTATAATGAGGTTTTACAGGGAGTGGAAGTGATGGGTCTGTCAGATGTCTGTCTGTCTGAATTGTGGTATGTCAGCTCTTTACTCCCATGTCACAAAAACAATTTCTGCTTGTTCTCTAGTGTATATGTGTGCAAAATGAAAAGCTTAAAAGTGAGGTGCATGCTTCTTTCTAGATGAGTAACTACTGAGATGGGTGGAGTTTTTGTGGTGTGGAAGTCTTTGTCCCTGTTCTGAAGTAGGTAAAGATCTGAAGACATTTTGCCTAGAAAAGCAATCTTAAACAATGCATGCACACTGACTCTTGTCTCTTCTACCCCAGAAGAGAACACCCAGTCATCTTTCATGACTGACAGTCTGGAAACAATACTTGGTTTTAGCATGCGATATAATTGCTAAGGACCTCAAGTATCAGTTCTCAAGGTTTCAGCTGTGTTTTTTAAAAGGTAAAAAGCAAAAGCAAAAGCAGCCTTAATATGGACCATACTCAACCTCTCCCTTTGAGAGATTGTATTTATGCATACATCACTTTTGAAAAACTAAAAGTTTTTTAGCATTGTATGTAGCATTATCTGTAAGACACTAACCTTTCAAATCTGCTTCTCTAGTCACCATGAATTGGCTGTTTTGAAAAGTGATCAGTCATGCTATTTTGGATGCTGCTATATCAGCTTAGAACACTTAAATTGTTGCTTCTAGCTGCAGCAAAATTAATCAGATGAGCTGAGCTTGATTATGACCTTGATTACTGCAATTATTTAAGCCCAATCCTAAAGTCATGTAACTCCTTATTTTGTGTCTGAAGTCAGATCCACATTAGGAAATCACATCCTCTCCCATTGGTAAGGATCAGCTTACACCTAGCATTGGAGAGATTTTTCCATTCTGTAGGCACTGCTGAACTGCAACTTGTACAGCAGCCTCCCCTGACTCAAGCCAGCA